TATTTTTATTTATTTGGGTCTTTATTTCTACCTTCTGAACAGACCAACTCACCTTTTTGAAGTAATGAGATATACAAAAATACAATCCATAGCCACAATAAAATGTAATTGGTCTTGGCCTCTAATTTCAAGTTTTATTTCCTTATTTTATACATCAGGATGCAACTATACAATTGTCTTTTATAATTCAATTGCAAGATCATGATTATCAGAAGATTTGTTTAGTCAATTACTTCTCCACTTCCATGTGAACAGAATTTTTACTCCACATCAAGATCGTTTCTGTGTGTCAACAACTTTTTATTACTTGGTCATCTGATAACATTTTCTCTTTGGTGGCTCCTGTACATGTAGCACAACATATCCTATGCAGAAAACATCCCCTTTAATCCTTTCTTTTCTCATAAAAATCAATAAAGGAAACTAAAATTTAGCTTCCCCTACCATGCAGGAAGCACCTTATAATGGGTATAAATAAAGAAGGAACATCAAAAGGCTCAAAGAAAAGTGAAATTTTACTATTCTGTTTTATCAGTGACATTTGGATCAGTCTGTGGTATATTAATTAAAGCCCACTTTGCTTCAGATTAATGCTCACTCTCATCATGCCTTGATTTTCTTATACAGGTTGAAGGTAAAAAAAATTCAGTATATAAAAAGAAAATAAAGTGAAATAAGATTCTGTGAAAAGCAATTTGGCAATACATATCAAAAGTCTTAAAAAATGTTTAACTCTTTGGTCCAGTTACTTCACTTATAAGAATCTGATCTAAGGAAACATCAGAAATGCCATCAAAGATGTATTCAATAAAAAAGAATGAAATTCTCCCATTTGCAACAACATGGAGGAGCTTGGAGAAACTTACGCTGAGTGAAATAAGCAAAGCACAGAGGGATAAATATCGCATGTACTCACTTATAAGTGGGAGCTAAGAAAGAAGTAAGGAAAGTCAGTCCACAGTGGAGCATGGACTTGCACAGGGGGAGAACATACCTTGGGACACAAAGCGGAGTGGGGGGGGTAAGGGGGAGGGGGAGGAAGGTTGGGAATAATTGGGTGGGGTACAAAAACAATTTGTGGTAATGCACATTCTGCCAGTAAGGATCTGTCCTTCTCATCTTGGGCATGAGGGGTGACAATCAGCTTTGTATCTCAAGAATATTCATAAGCAATAATTTTTTTAAAAGATTTTTTAAAAAAGATGTTAACTTCAGCAATATGCAGAACAGAAATAATTGGAAAACCACCTTGTACCACTTACAGTACAAGTAATACAAAATCCAATTAATTGTTGCACAAGCCATAAATACATTTAAATGTCTCAAAAAACAAGAAGTCTGGAGATGAGATGTCCAGGTTTGGTGTACCAGCTCAACACTGTCACCAAGAAACTAGGCCCTCTCTACCTCTTTGATCTGTGATTCACAGCAGGTCAGCTTTTCATCCTTCATCATACCACCACCTCATAGTCACAAAATGGCAGCTACAGTACACACATCCACATTTAAAGTGATATGGTGGAATGCAGATCTGAAAACCTTCACCTTATAAGAGTCTTTTCATCCAGAAAGAATGTTTCCAAAAACAAAAACAAAAGCAAAATAAGCAATACCCAGTAGAGTTCCCCTTATATATTACTGGGCAAAAGAAGATCCCATGTTTGCCCCCAAACCAATCACTGGTGACAGGAAATGTATTGCCTTGATTAGTTCAGACAAACCAGAATTCATTCTATAGGGCAGGGATAAGGGCCTTCCTTCTCTGAGATCAAAAGTTCTCCTGCAACCCCAATCTCATTTATCTGAATAAAATAGGAATTTTGTTAATAAGGAAGAAGGAGGGAAAAGGTAGGCTAACAGTACCTGCTACAAACCTATTTATCAAACAGTAGAGGAATAGTGAAATATATTATGGTATTTACACCATTATCTACACTTTTGGAGAAGTTTTAATCATAAAGAAAAATACGTTTAAAACAATGTTTAGTGAGAAAAGAAGATTAAAAAAGAAATACACAAAATGATCCCAAGTAAAAACAAAATATGGGGCCAGCCCCGTGGCTCACTCAGGAGAGTGCACGCTGGTAGCGCCGAGGCCGTGGGTTCAGATCCTATATAGGGATGGCCGGTGCGCTCACTGGCTAAGCGTGGTGCAGACCACACCGTGCCAGGGGTTGTGATCCCCTTATCGGTTAAAAAAAAAAATGCACAAACGTAAAAGAAGAAAAATGACTGCAAGGAAATATACTAAAATGTGATTATCTAATTTGTAGAAAGTCTCTGTTTTCTTAGATTCTACATTTCCCAATTTTTCTATAAAAAATAAACTATTTATGGGCTGGCCCGGTGGCGCACTGCTATAGTGCGCCACTTGGGAAGTGCGGCGGTGCTCCTGCCGAGGGTTCGGATCCTACATACAGACTGGTTCCCGCTCACTGGCTGAGCGAGGCGCGGGGGCAACACCGAGGGCTGTGATCCCGTTGCCGGTCCCGGTCCGGTACGGGGGCGACACTGAGGGTTGCGATCCGTTGCCGGACACGGAAAAAGACAAAAAAATAAATAAATAAACTATTTATAACAAAAAAATTTAATAAGATTCCATGACCTTATTTTCATCTATTTGATAAAAATATCACATTCATGGTTATTAAGGACATGGATAAAAATTATTTTTCAAGTGTATACTTGCATCATGTTGGACTAAGGTGTAGCCTATAGAAGTTTATAATATCAGTGATTTATAAAGAAATGACTTCCAACTAACATTAGATATATATCCCACAGTTCAATTTTAAAAGTGGTATGAAATAACATTGTCACATGAGAGTTTTAATTCACTTATCTCAAGTTATTACAGAAAAACCCTTTAAGTTAGCAAACATCAAACAACAGGATAAAACCAAGTACAAACTATGATTTATTAATATTCATTTGTTCAACAAATATTAATTGAGCCTCTACTAGCGTCAGGCACCATGCTAGGCCCTAATATGACGAATACTGCTGATAATTAAATAAGCACTTTCTGTACTATACTGAAAGATCTACTCATAAGTTTATCTTTTCTATTAGACTGTCAACTCCCACTGAGAGCATGAATCTTATACTTGATTTTATTCTCATACTCTGCCATAAAGTTGGCACTCAGGAAACTTTGTTGATGAGTGAGGAAAAAAATGCATAACAAAATATTCCAAATATGGTATATGTGTACAAAAAGCACTGTAGATTTTTTGTATGTGCTTTTTGAATGTATTAATGAAATAAAACTATTTAAAAATGATTTTTAAATTATATGAGTTAACAATCAGAAGATAGTTTGGTGTAATATTTATCTTTTTTTATTTAGTTTTTTATTTTTGTTTTTTTTTTAAAGACGACTGGTAAGGGGATCTTAACCCTTGACTTGGTATTGTCAGCACCATACTCTCCCAAGTGAGCCATGGGCCAGCCCTTATTTTTCTTTGTTTTGTTTTTATTTATATTTATCTTTAAAAAGTTGTTTCATTAAATAAAATGACTAATTAAAAAGGAGGAATTGGTAAAGGGACATGGAAATCAACTATATTGTATATGGATAAATTAAAATTTTAAAAAAGGATTTCATAACAACAACAAAAATTCAGTAAATTCTTTATTTTTCTCTTCAGCCTCTAAAACCTCCTCATGTTAGCAAACACACAAAGAAATAAACATTCAATTTGTCTTTCAAACATCTGTACTTTTACTTACTGTCAAAAGGGATGAGAACACCAGTAGGGAAGCTTTTCAATGATACTGTCATAAGGGAAATGAGCAGAAGGGAAAATGCGCTTATTTTTCCAGTTTATACTAACTTTTGTTCTTGCATTTGGCACTAAGTGAATTTTAGGCACTAGCAGACAACACTGAACTTTTCTGATTGATGAATTTATATTGCCTATCTACAAAAAGAGTAAAAGCTATTTATTTTGTTAAATTTTCCTGCTTCAGGTGAGATAGCTGACCTGCACGTGGGAGTGATGCTGCATGAACAATAAACCTTAGTCACGAGAAACACACTTAGTATAGTGAGGGAAAGGCAGGACTAAAGACAGCAAAAACAGCAGGCAAACTCAATTTCTCATTTCATGCTTATTCTGGGGCACATTACAAATGTGATTACTCACACTATTTCAAAAGTTATTTCTCTTTTATTTGCCAAGCACGTAGAGTTGAATCAATGGACATTAAATATGAACATGCTGTGGTTCCACTCTACTCAAATCCTTGCATTAGGTTCTAAAACAGTTTTATCTTTTACACATAAAAGCTTATATTTGTTTTTAATTCCAACCATGTTCCTATCATTTAATTTTCAAAATATATAAAAGTAAGTTGTGAGTTTTCATTAACTGCAATTCATGTTTTCCCTTCAATGTACATTTATTAAACTTACTATGTGCAACAGTACCAGAAATTATTCCTACAGTAAGCTAAGTGCTTGCTTATTTACCATTGGCAGTTAATCTAAGAGTTAATTGTAGCTTAGCAGTTTATGGTCTTATAATTAAGGTCAGCTAATCAAAACCTTATTTAGTGTGAATAGTAACTTATGTCATTTATATATAGCCTATAAATTATCTTTAAAGAAGAAAGGCTAACAAGCATTTAATTTACTTGCAAAGCTGGGTTAATATAGCCTTCTACATGTTAGATTTTCTATGGTTGAAAAAAAAGAAATAGATTTTTCATATTAATTAAAACATTCCTCTGTTATTATTATTATTATTATTTATTTATTTATTTTTTGGCAGCAGGGCAGTAAGGGGATCTGAGACCTTGACCTTGGTGTTATAAAGCCACACTCTAACCAATGGAGCTAACTCACCAGCCCTTCTCTGTTATTTTAATTGTTGAAAGTAACAAAGTATATCAATTCTACCAGTGTTCTCATTTTAATTTCTTCTACTGAAGAATGAAAAGTAAATCTTTTTATAAAGACAATATGGTAGTTCCAACATATCTAGTTTAATTTTTACCTCTATACTGAAATAGCCTCTGTCCACATAGTCACCCAGAAAGAGGTAGCGTGTATTACTAGGTGATCCTCCAACTTCAAACAACTTCATCAGGTCAAAGAATTGTCCATGAATGTCACCACACACTAGGAAAAAAAAGGTATACGATGAGATGAGAAATTATGTCTTAGAAGAAAAAGGTCATTATACCAACAGGGATCACAGTTTAACTTTGAACTTAAATTACTTTAGTTTTTGATTGGATTGCTACATAATTGTAGGCAATCTATTGATACTAAATGTCCATACTGGAAATATTAGACATTTAAAATTATATTTCTTCAATGAACAAAATATCCTCAACGATCCTAAGGCTGTCTCATAATTCCTAGAAAAATTATCACACATTTTAGTTGGTTATTTGCAATCATTTCTCAAAATTAGCTCAGATCTAAGTGCCATCATGCAAATACTTTTCATACCTGTGATTGGAGCATCCACTTCTATCATTGTCTTCTCTTGTCTCAGGATGGCAGCCCCATCATTGATTATTTTTAAGGCTACTTCCTCTTCCACCCGTCCTTCCTTTACCAAATGGTTTTTCAAAACATCAATTTTAGGTTTCCCATTCTCGAATACTTGCTTCAAAGTAAGCCGTTGGCTTGGAGGAAAGGGGACAGCTAGAAAGAGAAAAAAAG